GTGTGTGTGTGTCTTCTTCAATTTCTTTCATAACCTTTCTATAGTTTTCAGCATATAGACTTTTCACCTCTTTGGTTAGATTTATTCCTAGGTATTTTATGGGTTTTGGTGCAATTGTAAATGGGATCAAGTCCTTGATTTCTCTTTCTGTTGCTTCATTATTGGTATATAGGAATGTAACTGATTTCTGTGCGTTGGTTTTATATCCTGTGACTGCTGAATTCATGGATCAGTTCTAGCCGTTTTTTGGTGGACTCTTTTGGGTTTTTCATGTAAAGTATCATGTCACCTGTGAAGAGTGAAAGTTTGACTTCCTCCTGGTCGATTTGGATGCTTTTTATTCCTTTGTGTTGTCTGATTGCTGAGGCTAAGACTTTCAGTACTATGTTGAATAACAGTGGCGAGAGTGGACATACCTGTCTTGTTGCTAACCTTAGGGGGAAAGCTCTCATTTTTTCCCCATTTAGGATATTAGTGTTGGGTCTTTCATATATGGCTTTTATGATCTTGAGGTATGATCCTTCTATCCCTACTTCCTTGAGGGTTTTTATCAAAAAAGAATGCTGTATTTTGTCCAATGCTTTCTCTGCATCTATTGAGAGGATCATGTGGTTCTTGTCCTTTCTTTTATTGATGTGATGTATCACACTGATTGTTTTGCAGATATTGAACCAGTCCTGCATCCCAGGTATAAATCCCACTTGGTCATGGTGGGATTATTAAAAATATAAAATTATTAAAAGAATAATTCTTTTAATGTGTTGTTGGATCTGGTTGGCTAGTATCTTGTTGAGGATTTTTGTATTCATATTCATCAGGGAAATTGGTCTGTAGTTCTCCTTTTTAGTGGGGTCTTTGGTTTTGGAATCAAGGTACTGCTGGCTTCATTGAAAGAGTTTGGAAGTTTTCCTTTCTCTTCCTCTGTCCTCTCTCCACAAAACAGCTCCCTACCCTCCACGGCTTTTCTCTTCCCCAGTTCACCTCTCAGAACTGTGCACTTGTGAAGTTCTGTGGCTCAAATTATGCAGATGTTTGTGTTAATCCTCAGATCAATTTCCTATGTGTTCAAAATGGTTTAGTGCTGATCTAGCTGCATTTCAGGGATGAGACAAACTCAGGGTCTCCATGCTGATCCACCACCTTAACTCCCCTCCAAATTATTATCATTTCAATCAAAGTTAGAAGGGAAGGATTGGGAACACTGCCTAAACAATATCTTTAAATACTGAATTAAGAGTAAACTATTCCTTTGTATCTTTTAAAGATTTAAAACACTTAAAAATTTTTTTTAAACATTTATTCATCTTTGAGAGACAGAGTGTGAGTGGGGGAGAGGCAGAGAGAGAGGGAGACACAGGCTCCAGGCTTGAGCTGTCAGCACAGAGCCCGATGCAGGGCTTGAACTCACGGACTGCGAGATCATGACTGGAGCCGAAGTCGGACGCCCAGCCAACTGAGCCATCCAGGCGCCCCAAAACACTTTTCCTTTTATTTCTTTCTTTTCTTTTTCTCCATATGCTTTCTCTTTCTGATGAGTTGACTTTCAAGTGCTTAAGCGATTCCTGCATCCCAAGGTTTCTATGGCTAGGTTCATGATATTTTTTTCTTTCTCTTTAAAACAGTCCTATGGATTCTTTTACCTTGTGTTCCCTATGGTTTACTTAACATTTGACCCTCCAGAAGTGTGTGTGTGTGTGTGTGTGTGTGTGTGTGTACACATACATATATGTAAAATACATATATGTATATGTTAAAGCAACCAGATTAGGTCCAGGATGGAGTTGCTCATGCTAAGCCCCATGTCAGCAAGTCAAAACTTAACTAGTTTCTATGTTCCGTTCTTCTAGAAAAGGAGGGCTTTTCTAGAAGCCCATCAATGCTTGCCTGCTGAACACAAGTTTTCTAACCTGGCTCTAAGACTTCTCTCTGCTCCATATAGGGAAACTAACCCTGCTTTAACCAATCAGCAAATGTCCAGTATAACTTCCTTACTCCTGTTCACTTTGGTCTGTAAAAATCTCTCGCCTTGTACAGATCTTCAGAGCTGCTTTCTATCTGCTAGGTTGGATGCTACCCAATTCATGAGTTGCTGAATAAAGCCAGTAAGATCTTTAAAATGTACTCAACTGAGTTTTAACAACATACAACACACATGCAATTATTTTATTTTTATAGTTTGAGAGACAGAGAGAATCCTAAGCAGGTTCTGCATTGTCAGTGCAGAGTCCAATGCGGGGCTCGAACTCTTGAACTGTGAGATCATGACCTGAGCTGAAGTTGGATGCTTAACTGACTGAGCCACCCAGGTGTCCCAATATGAAATTATTTAAAAAAAATAATTCATAAATGAAATGTATTTCCACAAAATATATATCTAATGGATACAACTCTTATCCGAGGAGGGTAGATGATAACTTGTCTTAAATCATTAGTTTATCACATAAAATGTTCACATAATATTTCCTTTTTGCATTAATTTTCTTCTTGCAGCCTTTAAAGATAATTTTAGCCTTTTGTCCTATATGGTTGAAATGCAAACCTTTTTTTGTGTGTGTGTGTGTGGCTTTTTTGACCCCTGTTTTCCTGTTTCCTCTGCGCTTTTACCACTAAAATTCAAGGACAGTAAAACACGATTCCCCTTTTAACACGACATAGTGCCTTTCAACACTCATAGTCATGAACTGCTGTGTGGTCTAAATAAACGTCTTCTTATTGTGATGGTAAAACCAAGGAAAGGAGAATGGAACTAGGCCAAGTGGACAACTGATGGGGGGGTGGGGGGTGGAAAGGAACTAGGGCAAGAAAGGGAAAGGAAGAGGAGGAAGTGGAAGAAGGTAGGGAAAATATGGATAACAGAGAAAACTGGGAAGAAAGAGGGGTTAAAGAGAATCCTCCAAAAGCCAATTTGCCTCTACCCTTCAGGAAGTCTGAACTAATTCCTGTCCCCACAGTGGTCAATTCATTTATTATGTTAACTCAGAATTTAGGCAGCCATTAGTATTTAACTACTTTGACATAGTTAGAATATTGCTCCATGGAGTGTCCCACTGTAAGGGGACACAAGAATCTGGCTGTGCTTTTACGAATTTTGTGTGGAGCTTTCCCTGTGCAGGAGTGTCCACAAATGTAATCTGAAGGTGGACTCTGGACTGAGATCCTAAAGGAGATTGTAGTGAAATTTTCAGTGCCAGAGACTCCTTTCTGAAGTTTTAATCTTGCCCAGCCTCTTGCTCTGCTCTATTGGAGCCTCTGCTAATCCAGTCATGTAGCATTTACTACATCATTGATGAATGCAGACACTAGATATTCTTTAATTCAACTGTATCTTGGTTTGACTACATTCTGCAGTGGATAAATTAGCCACTTTGTGTTTTAACTTCCTCAACTGTAAAATAAAGGTTAAAATATCACCTACTTCAAAAAGGGGATTACAAAAATCGTTACTCGATAAACACATAAATGTAAAGCACTTTGAACCATGCACATAGTAACCGCTAAAAAATGTGAGCTATTATAACAACAGACTTAGGTTAAAGCTGTTACTGCAAACGTGAACTGATCTTTTATGCCAGATTTCAAACTTTGGTGTGGGGACTAATGGGGGGTGGTGTGTGTTCTGAGAGTCTCTCTGCAGGTGTCTGTGACGTCAAAACTATTTTCTTAATAATACTAAGATGCTATTTGCCCTTTTCATTCTCTTTCTCAAGAAGATGCAGAGGAGTTTCCAGATCTATGTGAAAAGTGATAACGTTAACATACAGAAGCAGCTGGAGAATCCAACTGTTTTCTATTAAAGCCATACATTCAAGAGATTTTCCTCATTACACTTTTTTTTGAAGCACTTTGTGCTTGTCATAAAAAATGTTCTTGTCATGAAAAACATTGTGTTAACGTGTAATGTATTAAATATTCTAAAACTGCTTTAATTTCGAATACAATAAATATCAATATAACCTACAGAAACAAAAGCTCTTTGCGATCCTTAGTAACTTCTAAGAGTGTAAACGGAGCCTGTGAACAAAAACTTTGAAAGCCAACACTGTGATGCAACTCGCGATTGAACAAGCGTGGACGGCTTGTGATCACCACAACCTCCTTTTAGGGCATTTTGTTCTCCTTGACACTGGTCCAGATTTCGCGCCCTTCTCGGGACCCTTTTTCCCCAGTCCACTGCGCGCTCCGGAAAGCCCAGGCCTCGCAGGGGCACCTGCCCTTCTCAGCTTTGGCTATCACTTGCTTATCACTTGACTGAGACATTCTTGCGGGCCAGGTTTGGGTTTCTCCAGACCAAGGATGCTCCTCCCCCGCACTAGCCGGGCCCAACCACATTAAACCAGTAAGGGACGGTGCCTGGGCCCAACTAGGCCCCACAGGTTCACCGGTACCGGGAAAAGAGTCCGCGGTAGCGCGGTAGCGGAGCGGCGACGGCGCAGAGAGAGCCGCCACGCCCAGCCGGGAGTCCCGGGAGCTTCCAGCCGCGTAAGGGGCGGAGCCACGCGCCCACAGGGGGCGTGGCCTTCGGCGCGCGCGGGAAAGGGGCCGGCGTCGCATGCGCGCGCACAGTCGGCGGCCGCGCGCAGCACGCTTGGGGCCCGGATGGCGGCGGCGGCGGCTGGAAATGGGACACCCCGCGAGGAGGAGGGGCCCAGTGGGGAGGCAGCGGCCCCGCCGCCGCAGGCCCCGACGAGTGTGCCCGGAGCTCGTCTCTCGAGGTTGCCATTAGCGCGAGTGAAGGCCTTGGTGAAGGCGGACCCCGACGTGACCCTCGCGGGACAGGAAGCCATCTTCATTCTGGCACGAGCAGCGGTGCGGCGGGAGCGCGAAGGCCACACGGGGCTGCGGGGCGGGGAGGTGGCGAGGGGCGGGGCCGTGGCGAGGGGCGGGGCCTGGGGGGAACCTTCCTGGGGGCGGGGCTTAGCGGCGTCTTGGGAGGCTTGGGGAGAGGGGGAAGCCGGGGTGGAAGAGGGTCTGGACTGGGTGTGCGAAGAATGCGGAGGTGAGGGGCCGGGGCCAGATTCTGAGATAAAAGTCTAAGAGGGAACACTAGGGGAAAGAGACACATACTTTCAGTAGTTGTATTGGTTTGTTAACACACCTGCCTCTTCATTAGGGCACGGACAACGACTTTAAATTGCTTTTACAATGCCTGACACAGCTTGTGGGAATCTCAAGTGAATGAGTCTGGAGAATTTACAAGTGAGGGAGCAGGAACGTGTCACGTCCTACTGGGGTAGAGGGAATGGGAGCAGATCGTCATGAAGTCCAGACTGAGAACCTTTCCATGCACCTGAGCACCCCTCACCTCCTTCCCACCACTCAAATAGAAGAGCTCACAAGAATTGTGCTAGAACCCATTGCTACAACTCTCCCCTTGTGCCTCACAGGAATTATTTGTGGAGACCATTGCAAAAGATGCCTACTGCTGTGCTCAACAAGGAAAGAGGAAAACCCTTCAGAGGAGAGATTTGGGTAGAGTGTCACTGTGGTATTTGGTATCTGGGGGCAAAGAAGGGAGGGCTGGGGGAAGCCACCTCTGTAAGATGAAAGGTGCCACATCCCTTTGGACTGCCACAGTGATAGAAAGTCCTACCTTTAGGGTCCCAAGTGCTTTGGGTGGCTGTATAGGTGGTGGGGTAGGGAATGAAAGGAGTCCATGTGTTGCTAAAGCTGATTATACCCCTTTATGCTGTCTGCTATGTTGAATCAGACTTGACACTTCTTTTTCCCATAGAAACTGGGGGTTTGATTTGTTTCTTTTTAGTTGGTAACCCTTGTATATGTGTAAACTTTTGTGTACCTTAATTCCACTTTCCCTTCATTTTGCCAGACTCTTCTTTGATGACTTTCAGAGCAAAGGGTTTCCCCTTACCGAACAGTGTTTACCTAGGCTTTTCTACTCTTGTAGGGAGGCAGCTGATATGTAAGATTTAGTGGTGGAGTAGAAATGGATTCACAAAATCAAGGGACAAATTTTATAAATGCCCTCATTTGCATAAAGCCTCACGCCCTTCACTATGTGGGTTGTGGTTTTTTTTTTTAAGAGGTTGGTGTCCAAATGACCAGAGTTAGTCAGGTGTCCCTTTACATTGTGTTTCAGATAATGCAATAGAAGCCGTGGATGAATTTGCTTTTCTGGAAGGTGAGTTCTCTATGGATGGATAATCATTTCCACCTGTCTTTCCCATGCTAATGAGCTGAGTTCAAAATCTTATAAAACTGCTCTTTGGTTCTTCCTTGTCTGTATAGTGATAATTCTTTCTACTTCCCATTAAGATGGGAAAAACTAATATGTTAAATCTGGTGAGATCTAGCAATTCTAATTCTCTTGGGTCATTAGAACTTTTTCCTGAAAATTGCTAATTATAAAAAATGAGAGGCAATGTAAGGACTCCAGTGGAGTTAGGTGCATTGAAAAGTTTGATTCATACTTTAATCTCCATTCCTAGGTATAATCTTCCCTGTATCATAATGCTAGAGATCAGAAACAATTGCCAACATTTAAAGGGTTGCTTCTTGTTCTTTTTTCTTCTTCAGTCTGTATAACATTATTTAAAAAATTTTAATGTTTATTTTGAGAGAGAGCTCGCATGCTTGAGCGAGAGGGGCAGAGAGAGGGGGAAAGAGAGAGAATCCCAGGAATCCAGTACTGTCAGCTCAACGCGGGGTTCATCATGAGCTGAGCGGAAATCAAGAGTTGGACTCTTAACCAACTGAGCCACCCAGGTGCCCTATAGTTATTATTTTGCCACTGGGAGATTATGTACTTGCCTGTTTGTTGTTAAGAATTTTGGATTAACTTGTGT